AATGCAGGACAAAATCTTATGACAAAATAATAAGATAAATTTTCTCGTAAATCCTTCCAAAATATGGCAGTGTTTTTACGTTTGGAAATTACACTAACAGATCAAAATGCATTCACTAGGAGTTTAAAAATTACGAGATTAAATTATAGAATTAATCTCGTGATCGTTAGTTCGCAAAACTTTATATATGCAGAACAGTCTGTTTATCTGTTGTTTCAAACGGGCGTGGAATTTTATGATAAACACTGAGGATTTAGGAGGATAGGCTGCTAAGAAAATATTTGGGGGATAATGTGAAAGAATCCTGGAAAAAAAATTTCATTATGACAAGCGTCGTAAGTTACACTCTTCAAAAAATACAGTGAGTTCACTGATAAAGTTGAACGCAACCATAACTTCCTGGCAGGAACTACTATAAAAATATAAGTCGATTTTATTGTTTTTAAGGAGCGAGACTGCAGTCGTATCGGAAAAACCTTGTAGCTCTTGGCGGTGAGTTATGCATTTCCAGCCGGCAGCCGGAGAGTGACATTTCTTGTGTTCAACTTTTATATTGGGGCAATCTAACGAAGGATTGGCTGAACATCTAGCACAGATAGATGATAAATGGATTAACAGTTTCTGTCTGACAGACGTAAAGAAAGAGATAGACCACTTGATTGTTCTAAGTAGGCTTAATTGGGAGAATAATAATAAAATTTACCTCACGGAAACATTATATGAGGGCGTGAAATGTTTTTAAATTTCTGGTAACAATTTTCGTTTGGCCAAGGCAATAAAGTGTCGTGTTGCATGACTGTATTTAATGAAATTATCTTAAATCAGGCTGGGATCACTTCTTCTAAAGCCCTTTACAAATAATCATTATTGATAACACTTTTCATAAACTATGAAGTTTAATAAAGAGTCTTTCTGTCCAAATTCGCACACGATCTCTACCACCAGGTGGTACCTACCTCAAATCTGGGATATCTAACGTCTTGTAGAGCTGGTACGATGGTGATAATAGTCGGGGGTACTCGATTTGAATCTGGGTTGGATTTTTTTTCCGGTGTTTTCAGACTAATCTTGTGATTTTAACTCCAAATGACCACTCAGGTTCCAAATCCTTACTTACTCAACATTAAATTTCGCCCGATACTATATTAATTCTACTGTACATCGTTTATTCCAATATTTCAATCTTAACTAGGCCTTTGTGGTGAAATCATAACAGCGCTTGATGTGATGGTATCCGAATTAGCCCGTTTTGTACCTTTCGTCATTGTGTTCTGTCGCGTCACAGGTAAACACTGTTAAAGTTTCGTTGGAATCTACATAATTAGTGGATCCCCTGAAACCACAAACCGAAAATGAGACTGTCATTGTTTTCGTACATTGACACACAAAGTGTTTAAGAAGCTTAAAAGTAAGAAATTGATGTCAGTTCAACGCAGAGGTAACGTTCATTCATTTTCATCCCCGTTTTACCACATTTTATATCACATAATCTTGTCGTGAAATGAAATGGTCAAAGTATTCTTTTAATAAATGTCACAAGACTTAGTGTAATTTTTGAACAAATGTAACTTGTTCGTTAATATTTGAATATTTGAAAATGCTCGTGGTTTAATTATTCGTTCTTACCTGTCGTGGTTATATGACAGTGGATGAAAAGGGGAATTTATCTGTAATATGTGATCAGGCAAGGATTTCGAACGTGGAATTCGTTTGAATGTGGCGTTGTATCCCTGTTGTGAAAATAAAGTCATGTTAGCCGATAAACCGACTGATCTCCGAAAGGAATACTTCTAGATCACAATCGTGAAGCTTTGTCATACACCATTTTCCTCTGTTCTTCGTGAAACAATCAATTAATAAAGCTGACATAAACCTTTTAGCAGAAACGTCGAGACTATATGAATACACAAATACATCTCGCCGTCATCCATCACTGACGTCATTAATCTCGTGGCAAAGTGGTGTTCTAATGGCGCTGGCTGATCAAATGCGAACCACTTCACCTCCGGGTTCTTGGAGATATTGCTCGCGTTTCCATGGATACGTATCGAAAACCCAGGTACTCCGTGAGTTAGTTTGTACGTCAGTGTAACAATTTGGAGTTATAATATTATATCGTGTATGAAGATCGATTCTTACATTATATTAATTTTAAGTTTGAACTTGAACAGAGTGTAGAAGTATGTCTAAAGTACGTTCTTGCTTCGGGGGCAACCATTTTGTAATGTACAAAGGTCATCTGATTAATACTGTATAAGGCAATAAGGATTGTTTACTCTGAGAAACCTGCAAAACTGATAAATATATGCGTAGTGAGTAAAATTCAGTTATTCAGAAAAAAATATATTAAGTTTTCCTTATGAACTTTTAAGTTTATAAAAAATAAATAAAGATATTAATAATGATATATAATAATTTTTATGTAGGGGTTCCCTGAGACATGAATATTATTTCAAGGGTTTCGCAAGGGCAATGAGGTTGAGAAAAACTTAATATATTTTTCTTCTGATAGCTGGTTTACGCAAAAAATTACTTACGTTTTTTTTCAAGTTTATTGACAATACAAAAAAAAACTGAAATCGAATTGCCTGTTCAAGAGACCTCATACGGAGGTTTTCATTCACACAAAAAATTAACGTAAATAACGTATATAACACATATAAACAGAACGAAAACAGATAATAACTACTACAATAACTAAATCGTTTATTGACAATATTAAAAAGGCATAAGATAAATCAAAGTAAAATGTCATATGAACAAATATATGTGTCAAGGAAATGTTATTTTTGAAGCCAATTTAAGTAATAAAATTAACTTGAGTCACTCGATGATACGTGAATCCACCACGTGGAGCTCCTGTACATTGACCACTAAAGGCGGTTTCAGGCTGGCGCCGTACAGACGTCGCTAAATATATTTCTAAATGACATAACAGGTTGAAGACTTTATTATAATACCCAAGAATTTTCCGAGAATATGTCGTACGTTTATAGTAAAATTACGAATATGAAATTAAACATAAAAATAACTCAAAAATACATTTACATATGATTAGCCTATTCATCACTATTTCTCGCGGAACCCCCGGCGATTGCTCGCGGAACCCCGGTTGAGAAATGCTGCTCTAGCAGATGGAAACCATGCAAAATCAGAATTCCAAACGATTGTTAAAAGAGTCTTCTGTCATGGATCTGACTAATAAAGTATGAAGCAGTTCATACAAGAATGATATAAAACAGAGATGAAATGATAGAAGACATTTTAAGCTGAACGAATTGCTACGAGTTCGTAAATGATTTGAAACGTGGCTTCGTTTTGGCATTATGCTACATCAACTATCATTCATGTATTTCTATCGGATGTAATTGCTATTGTACGTCGCCTATCGCAGATTAGTTAAGTCTTTGTGTAAAGAAGCACTGTCCGATAACCCAGATACAAATGTAGAGGCTTTTTTATTTCGGAAGCTGTCAGTTGTAACAGAGCCTCTGGGTCTACAAGCTAGACAACGTAGTCTGTAAGAACAGAATGTTATCTGTGAAAATTCACTCTGGTGGAAGCAGACAATTGCTCTGGATAAGTTGATAGGCGACAGGCTGAATAATTGAAATGGCTATTGTATTTTTCATAACAAAGAGAAAATTTACATGCTTATTGAATAAAAAATATCTTTGTTTTAGTTATGAAATGTAGCTTTTGACAGAATATCCATGTAAAAAAAAATATGTGTCATTCAGTATTCGTATTTTTTTGGTATGAATAATGAACAGATTGTTACTGTAACGGGAAATATAAAATTTTAGAGGTGGTTAAAAGAATAATCATTGCTTTCAAAAACAACTGAAATGTGTGTGCGTTACGATTGAGAACATTTTATTGGGTAGAAGTTCGAATATTTTAATCTAAATAAATCAGAATTGTGTTTTTTTTTCAGCCGGTTTTTAAATTATGCCAGTGTTTCAAAGTGAATTTTATACTGAAGGTAGTGTAATGTGTGCTTAGTACAATCCTCAGTAGTTCTGCACTGACACAAATTTAACGAACTTTGAATTTTATAGTATAATTTTGCATAAACTATTTTAAAAATCCATACGATTATGAAACTAGACGCACTTATAATACTTATAAGTGTCGAATCGATTGTTTCATTTTTCTTCTCGGCATTTTAATACTTATATTGAAAGTAAATTGACTTAATATAAAAGGAGTAAATATTTTAAATGCTAATGTGAATGTTAAAATAGGTTTATCAGTGAAATTCGCCTACTCTTTGCATTTATAGCAGTTCAAAATACAATCATAGTTTCGATTAATTTTATTCCTATTAAGTTGAGTGACTGAAATGAGTCATGCGAAGTCCGATCTAACTAAACGTTCTTTCTGTGATTATAATTTTAATTAATTTAACATTAAGAATGTATTTTATCTGAATGTCTGTTATTTTTCTGATGATTTCATAAGATTTCTCCCAGTGAAAATTTGTGTTTACTAAATGTTTATTAATTTGAAATACTATAAATCAATTCTTAACTCTCAAAGCTTCCAAATAACTTAAAAATGAGAAACATATACTATTACAGTTTTAGTCAATAATTGATTACGCTTTAGTATTATTTTCGAGATTGTATTAACCTTAAATCGTAATAAATTGTCGAAAACTTTAAATTTATAAAAAAATTGCAATTAAATATTGATATATTTTGTAACATAGGAAACTTTGTTCCCTCAAAATGACTGAGTAAAATCGCTTTGGCATTTGAACGCAAGTACCTGAATAATTGAATGTTTGTAGAAAACAGTTCGATTTACTAATGTGTACTACAGATTGGTTGTAAAAATCTTAATTGTCTGGCGCTCTGAATCGTAATTAACGTCTAACTTTATCGTCGACAATTTTTAAAAATAGCGACGCTTAGGAAATCGAACGACGCTAATGATAGCAATGTATAGCTATAATTCACTTGTCACAAAAGTAGCAATTACAAGATATTACTCACCGTGTACTGCCAGGATGGTAACAAATAAATAGAGCAGACATTGTGTGGGACCTGGCATCTTCTTTGGCTGATGGACGATAATGAGTTTGCAGGCTAGCACATTCCACGTGGACCTGAAGTTCCTGGGATCAACACCGAAGCTGAGATGTCGCTCACTTGAACTAGGCGACGCGTCGAATTTTGGATCTGATCTCTTATTCGCTTAGAAGTCACATTTAAAGACGTTTAGCAAAAGGCTATGTTTTCTCGTTGACAGTAACGTGAATTTCGACGAGAACTTTACTACAGTATGCATATAGATTAAAATAGAAATGATTTTTTTTTATTTTTTAATTTAAATTATTCTTATACTGTTTTGAATGTATGAAGTATTTTAATAGAAATAGTATTGTATATTTAAGCATAAGCTGGCGTAATTTATATATATATATGTATATGGTCATAAAATGTGTAAATTTGACAGTTTCAGAATCTACCCTATAATTACTCAACTCTTTTCTCCACTACGGCGTTGTAATACATAAAACATATTGATACATAAGGTAAAGTTACACTTATCACCCGGTTGAAATTAAATGTTAATGTCATTGCAAAAATGTTGTACATTAGAAAGCTTTAAAAACAATTTTACAGGTGCAATAAATGAACACCTTTATACACTTTATCTACAGCCCGACCTGTGTTTGTCCACATCTATCACAGTTAGTGCGGTCCATGCACTCTCCTTACACTAATCCCTTAGAAAAGTGACACTTCGCACAGCGCTCTTCGCGTCATGAGACATCGTCGTTCGATGCGTAACGTTCCAGCGTCGCGACGGCCAATCTACGACCTGACCAGCACCTCGCGTGGCCGGCAACTGAGCTTTCAAACCCGACTCGGCTGTTTTTAATATTTCTTCGTTCGTCCGTCTGTCCGTCCGACGTTTTTCAGCGTTGCGCGCGCTCTATT